TCCTGCAGGAATAGGTGGGGCACTGTAAAGTACTGCCTCGTCATTGCACTGGAAACTCCACAGTGCCTGACTTGCCATCTCGAGGTTGCTGTGGCAGGTTGTATCATCATCATTGTGGGGTTCACCGTGACTTGTGCGGAAAGGTACATGAGCTGCAACACTGTCTATCAAGTTGTAGATGACTTACCGAATGTCCAAACAGCGTGTCGACGTGTCATCCATCTTTATCCTCTCATATCCACATTGTCGCCTTTGCTCGCCATCACCAAACCATCCAAACCTCGGTGTAATGTTGTTTTCGGACATCCTCCTCATGAATGTAAGTTGTATCTCTCCCATAAACATTATTTTGTCGCCTTAAAAGCCATTTCTTGCATTCTAGGGGATTGTCGTGAATAATGAAAAAGTACATGGGCAGCAACCATGTTTATGCAGACTTACCCAGTGTCCAAAGTGCTGCTGTCAATGTGTCACCCATTCTTCACTAGCCAATAGCCATCCTCTGACATCCACACCTTGCCCTTGCTCACCATCCATCGCTAAACCATTGTCACCACCTCCATTGGCCTGTCCGATGTGACGTCGTTGAATGTAGTGGGCATCAGCATAGTTAACAACCTGTATGTTGGTAAAACACATTGTTCATATGTAGAATTGAGAATATCATTGTTGCATGTGTGTATGTCAATGATTATTCGGTGATAATCTAATGATCATGTTACATGACAATAGTATGTAGACCGGGACTTTTCATGGGTATGAGCTACCTAAACTATGTAACTGTCCCACCGTTTATACCCGCTTTCATGACTTTCTGTTTGTAACACTAATCAGGACTTTCAGGGGGGCCCATGGCTTAACCCTTACAAGTGTAGGAACTTGATCACTTCTTTTACTCCCTGAGCTACCTTATCACCACACCTAGATCTCACAGCACACCATCATGTGGCTGTCACCAGCAGGCATTCTTGTGGGGAAACCCCCTAACCCTGTAAGACTAACCCCATTTGACCTTAGTTCTTTCCTCAAGCAGAGGCCTCACACCCCCTAAGATTTTCGTTCAAGCCTAATTGGTAGATGTGTGGAATAACCCAACCCTTCGGCATATTGGTGTTTGTTGATCAGCAAGGGGACTCGTTTACCAGCCTCGACTCTGTGATTTATGCACATCATTTGTCAGCCACTATGGCCCGTCCCAAGCCTTCCAATCTGCTTCTTTGGCATATCTTCTTTTCCAAGATAAGAGGAGTAAATGTGGCCATGATATCATTGTGATCGGGGGGCGTGGGTACATCATATTTGGCATCAAGGTCTATACAACAGACCGCGTCACCTTCCCATACACCTGACCCATCTCAGCATCTCCCGGGGGTGTTGAATGCACATGGTGTCTAAATTGTTTTCCACATGTGGGGGATCGAACTTGAGACCTTGCAGACCCAAGCCAGGTAAATGATTGCCACCTGAGCCACTGTGCCCCCCATATTGTTGCATACTCCCTAAATTGATGGTCATTATCTCCTTGGACATGGTATCAAAAATCGAAAACAGAGCTTACCTTTCACCCATGCTTGTCGTCACCCTGAATGCTCTCCACGTTGAAGTTGCTGTGGCAGGTCGTGTCATCGTCGTTGTAAGTGATGGTTACCTTGCTTGGCAAGGTCTATTACCACAGTCATAATTATGTAATCCATCCTGCTGGCCCCCAAGGTCATATATCCCTTTTATTGATGCCAAAATGTTAGAGACCACTCTAGACTATTGCCAAACCTAACCATACAAATTCATTGTACTGGCCCCCAAGGTCATATATCCCTTTTATTGACGCTGAAACATTAGAGACTGCTCTAGACTGCTGCCAAACCTAATGAAGCAAATTGGCCATTGCCAGTTGCGGAAACTCAGAGATTTCTGAGAAAGTTACTCAATTTACTGTCTTCAACAAATCTGCTCAAACTCTGCAACTTATACAATACTTCCAATGGCTGCAAGGAGCGAACCGCACAAGTGGTTCAGCAATGAGCAGCCAATAAAAGATCACAAACTTACTCTGAAGAAATTTCAGTTCATTTTTATGTCATCGCCATAGCAGGCTTTGTGCCCATAGGACTCAGTACTCAGCACTATAGGATTTTTTATCTTTATGTGCATGAAATACAAGCAAGGTATTGGTTGACATTGGAACAAGGTCAAACTCTAGTGGTAAGTGAAGTCTAATATTGGCTGTGCAGACATGTGATGACAATTGCTTGTACACAACTATGCTACTCAATGTTGGCGCCTTGCAATGGTGGGGAACAACACAATCCTCAACACCATCACCCTCCTCTCCGCAACTCTAACAACCTACATCCCACTCCCCTACAACCCAGGTTTCTCCATCAAAAATGTCCTCTCCCTCCCCCAATCCCTCCCCCACTACTCCTCGGAATATGGCACATCTGTGAAAGCCCAACTCGAACTCCTCATGCCCCAATTCTCCATCTTTGGCACGACCCCGTTCCTGATACCAGCACTACCAGCAGCAAGGGTCATTGCTTTGAACTATGCATTGTCGAAAGTGGATTTTGGGACGGGGTACGTGGCATTGAGTGCGGGTAGTGGTGCAGTGGGTGATCTGTTGAGTTTGGGAGTGAGTGCGGTGATGTTGGGTAAGTTGGATGGGGAGTATATGGCTGCTGCAAAGGAGACGGTGGATGTGCTGCTCACTCAGATCCCACGATGGTCAAATGGAGTGATATCACATCGTCCGGATGTTGCTGAGCTTTGGTACCTTCTCCACTCCCTCCATCATTACTGGGTACTAACCTCCTTGCGCCCAGGGCAGACTTCGTATACATGGTCCCACCCTTCCTGGCCTACTACGGCGCAGACACCCAAAATGCCTCAGTCCTCCTCCAATCATACACCCAATGCCAACTCTACCAGCAGGTCCTCCAACCTTCAAGTGGCAGTGCATGGATGCACATCATGGATCCCCAAAACCAAGACACTGGACTCTGGTCAACTGGGAATGGGTGGGCCGCAGCTGGGATGACACGTGTCTTCGCTACATTTCTCAAATCGCCTTTTGCGCAACAACTCAATGGGAGTGCGCAGGTGGATGCAGTGGAGGGGTTGACAGGGTACATCAAGGAGATATTAGATGGCGCGATGAGCTCACCGATGAGCTTTGGGTTGTTGAGGAATTATTTGAACGATACAAGTGGTGATGGACAGGGTTTCCCTGAGATTTCGGGGAGTACGCTGTTGGAAAGTGTAGCGTATCGAAAGGCTGTTCTCTGTCCTGACGTTTTTTCTTCCTCCAACTCCTCCAACTCCACCTCTTCCTCGTCTATGTCCAGTTACATATCCTGGGCTGACAACATCCACGCTGTCCTAGGTGCATACAACGCCTCCGGCAACCCACACATCACAAAAACAGGAATAGCAACCCCAGCAGTGAACACACTGGATTGGCACGACACAACCCCATATACTTCTGGTAGTCCGGAGGGGCAGAATTTCATGGTGTTGATGCAAGGGGCAACCACCCGAGCATCCGGTTAGGACAACTGGTCCCATCGGGGTCGTGGGAGTCAACACGTGCAATCACAAAATGATTGTCACGCCCGCGCTCATTTAGCATGTGCCTTCAACGTTGCTTCAACACACTCCACAGATTCAATTGAAGACCCTTACCATAACACGTAAAATATCTGCCTTGCATGTTGTGTTTTCACTGTAGACAGGCTTTTCAATCGATTTGTTGTTCCTTCCCCCCATTCTCACTGAAAGAAATGCCAAAACCTCGACCTGCAGCTGAAGATCCAAAGGAAATTCAACTC